TCTATTGAGCTATTGTTATGTCTCGAGCACAGTTATAAATGGACTTACTGCCTTTGAGGTAGGTACCATCAATGTTTGCTTTTAGGGAAACTGAGGCACAGAAAAGTTAGAGACCTTGCCAAAAGCCGGCCAGGGAGAGGTATAGCTGGCCTTTGCCCTGAGTAGTCTGGGTGCAAGCAGGCCCAGCTGTTTACTATGCTACCATGTGTCTTGACAGTTCAGAAGGCTGACGTATGATGAATGGCGATGTCAACAGCCTATAGCAGGCCTCAGACGACTGGTTCCCACAGCAAGAGTGATAGGATGATGCTCAGGGTGGGAGAGAACTGGTGTGCGCTACAGGGCCTAGTGCCTAAGACAGAGCTGTTCCTCTCTCTGGATACTTCATGGCTAATGTTGCCCTCAAGGTCAGAAGGTCCTTCAAGGTCAGAAGGTCCTTCCCAACCTGACCCCACTGCCTCGCTGGCCTCAATACCCTCCTACCCTTCCTCTTCCTCACTCTGCCTCAGCCCAGTGGCCTCCTTGTTGGTTCTCAAACCTGTCCAGCCTACTCCCACCTCAGGGCCTATGCACCTGCTGTTTACAATGGTTACCCGTCCCCTAGAAATGCTCATGGCTCACCCTCACCTCACTCGGGTGTCTTCTCAGAGAGATGTTCTCTGGCCTCCATAAGCAAACCCATACCTCTCCCTGCCCTCAGAGGTCCCTCTCTCCCCCCTTCACTCTGCTTTATTTTTCTTTATGGCACATGATGGATAATCTGTATTTGATTCCTGTCTGTACATTCTCTCATAACCCCAAATATTTGAGCTCCGTAAGAATGAGAAGGACTTTAAAAAAATTGTTTCCTTCTGCCCCAGTGTGTAGAATGGTCCCTAACACACACAGGCACCCCATAACTATCTGTTCAGTGAATGAGGGGCTTGGACTTCCATGATGTCTTCAATGAGATGATGTTCCTCCACACAGTTGGTGTGGGGTTCTCATTCTAACAACCATCAGCCTCCTTACAAACCACAAACCCTGGAGCTCTGGGAACACAACTCTGTGTCTCCGTTGGCCAGAGAAGTCTTCTCTGCACCTTTGGAGAAAGACTCAAAACACCCCATTGTGAGAACCCCACTAACCCCCCAAGTCAGATCTCTCTCCTTCCGTTTGGAAAAACCCAAAGCCTTGACACTGGAACTTCCCAAGGTCACCAACCAGCGGCTGGCAGATCAGTGACAGATGACGCGATACTGCACACAGCCCCAGCTGCTGAACACCCAGGCCCGGGGGCTGCTCTCCATCCCTCCCAAGTGTCAGGGACCCTTGCTCAGAGCCAGGGTCCGCAACCCTGCACGGAGCCAGGCCTTGCTGGCTCCACCAGGTGAGCTTTGGAGCCGATTCTGGATAATGAGTCATGACTGCATGTCAAGGGTGGCCCTGGGGGCCACGTCTCTTTCATCACGGACACAGAACAGCTCAACTGTCCCCAAAAGCACAGCTGCACATAACGTCGGCACAGGGGTCACTGATAGCTTTAGAAAATAACCCATCACACAGGCGAAAAGGAGGGGAGGCCTATGGCCTGGGTGCACCTGCCCCAGGGAGAGGCCCCAAGAGCAGAGACCTTCAGGGGAGAGGGTGTGCGCTGACACGTGGCTGGGGGCGAGGCGGTGCTGCCCCAGGTCTGCAGCCAGGGGCGGGGGCGGGGGGGGGGGAGGAGGGGAGGTCCTGCCCTCAGGGAGACCCAGCATCTCCCAGCCCAAAGCGGTGTAGTCCTGTGGCCAGACAATGAATATCGTCAGCATTGGGGAGCCCAAAGTTTTCCAGGCTGCCAGTTCCAATAAAGCATTTGCTGACGGACATATCAAACCCATTAATTAACATCTACCCGCAGTCGGCTCCTCACTGTGCTCTGACCGTCTCATCAATCTTGCTCAGGGCAGAGCAGCCTCTAGACAAGCCTGAGAGGAAACCAACTGTCTGATTATTCAGCATTTGTTAAGATTAGACATGGTGCCTTTGATAAATATTAAACCCTGAACAGGCACAAAAGACGAAGGGTGGGGGATAAAAGCTAGCCCCTCTCCCCACCCACTCCCCACAGCCACCGGAATAGAAAAGTTTTAAAGACCCTGGAGAAGGAGGTTCTTTTGCTTCCATTTTCTCTCTTCTTGGAGAGAGGTGGACATTGCACCTAATGAATCATCTTATGCCAGTTCCTTCTCATGCTACTAGCTGGGGATTTGCTTACATTTTGGAGAGAAGGTGCTTTTCTTGTTCTGCCTCTGTGCCTACTGTTCTCCTTCTTGCAGTGTCCTTGAATTGTTTTCTCTTGGCAGTTCCAAGCTCTCATTGTATTTAAGACCTAGCTCAACACACTCCTAGGAAATAATAATTTTTGTAAGGAGAAGAGGAAAGCACCCTCCTCTCTGTTATGCCGTGCCCAGGAAGAGTTTCAT